TACAAAGCCCGTTCAATTAAACAGAGTTATGGCCATGAAAATTTGTTCCTACAAAAGCCCGTTCAATTTAAACTATGAAATCGGGGCTTTAGGTGTATAAACACTTTTTGCTAAATAGCCCAAATGCTATTTCTATCATATTATTCTCGCACAATTGAAACGATTTTTCCCGACAGTCTCCATCTTCACACAACCATCACCGGCGGCGGCGGCGGCGGCGGCTCTAACTTCGCCATCTCACTGAATCTTCTCATCAACCAAGGTATTATCTATTAGTACAGTGTTTATCTTTTTTTACCTTTTTATTCCATGTGAAAAATGAAACCCTAGCTTGTGTTGTTATCTTGCTTCCCAATCATATACCAAGTATAAATTTTAGCTGTTTAATCATTACAAACAACTCGAACGAATGTATTTTAGCAAGAATTTCACATGTTTATGAACTAGGTTTCGAGAAATTAGGTTTTGATTTTGATTTTGGTTTTGATTTTGATTTGATTTTTGAATATTTAGGGCATAAAAATGTCGTCTTTAAGGAATGCTCTGCCTAGAAGAGCTCACAAGGAGCGATCTCAGCCGTGAGTTTCTTTTTCCTCATTACTTTTTCGTAAATATCTTTTCTAACTTTTTCGTTCAGTTTAATTTAAATACTATAACGTGGATTTTTTTTTTAATTAATGTTATCGTTTGCTTGTGCTCAGACATTCAAGGAGGAGATTCGGTCTGCTCGAAAAACACAAGGACTATGTCGTACGCGCTAAAGCCTTCCACCAGAAGGAAGATGCAATACAGGTTAATTTTATAACACAGTTGTGAAATTTGTTTCAGCTTTTGAAAGTAACGATTATGCTGACTGTATACGCGGTTTACAGAAACTTAGAGAAAAGGCGGCGTTTAGGAACCCCGACGAGTTCTACTTTAAAATGATCAAGACGAAAACTGTCAAAGGAGTCCACAAATTGGAGTAAGAAAATACTGCACAGTTTATTTGATTTGAATTCGAAGGTTATTTTATTTCTAGCGTTCTACGAAAGAATCATTTGCGTATATATATATATTATGAAGGAGTGAAGCAAACAAGTACACTCAGGAGGAACTCATGTTGATGAAGACTCAAGACGTCGGATATATTTTGCAGAAACTTCAATCGGAAAAGAAGGTTTGAAAATATTTACAATCTCAATATCCAATTATGTTTTGAGACTTGAGAGATGTGTTGATATTTTATATTTTTTTCCCGACAGAAAATCGAGAAACTAAGTAGTGTGTTGCATATGCATGGTCTTGACAGCGGCTCGTCGAGCAAGCATGTTTATTATGCTGAAGACAGGTGTGTATTCACTTCTCTCGATATTTTTGTCCGGTCATATGATAAGTTTAGCTTTCTGAGTGTTTAGAAAGAGAATCTAACATATAATTAATACGAGAAAAATTCTATTTGAATTTGTGGAGCTCGACGATTATACTTAAATACGAGTAATATTCAGACTGTTCAGTGATCTAGTCATGGTTTGTCACTGATTTGCTACTGATATGTATTATTACTTATCGAATATTTACGATTAGATAATGTTTCAAGATGTTAACAGGTGTAGAAAGTAATGAATGGTAGGAAAACGGTATGAACTATTTGATTTTTTTTGCTCCTGAAATTGACTTTATTTTGGGTCATAATCGAACTTCTGCATCGTAACTTCGACATTTATTTGCTATGAATTACCCCTCCCGTTTCTTTTTTTATTTACCGTTTATGGTTCCGGTACTCATATTCAATTAGTTATGCATTGGAAGTTGACAAATAATATGTTTATTTAATTATTTCAGGGACGAAGCAAGAGAAATACAAGCAAGTGTTGCGGAAAACAAAGAAAATCCTACTTCAGAAGACTTGCCTAAAGATATCAAACGGTAGCAAACTAATCATTTTTTTTTGTTTTCCGAAAATCAACTCGCTTTTTTTAACGGGCTATTTAATTGTGTGATACATAATGACCCGATGACAGGAAAATAGCTGTTTCATATCGAGAGCTGGAGACTCGAAAAGGTCGAGTGAAAGAACTAGAGAAAATCTACATGGAGATGGCAATGCAGAAAGAATTACAGGTATATCGTAATTATTAATTACCATTAAACGTTTATCCAATTTCTCAGTGTTTGTATATTCATATAATTACTACTTTGCCACTACAGAAAAAAGGCAGAAAACGCAAACTCCGTGAAGATGAAATCGTGGAGCCAACATCAAAACCCGTCTACAAGTGGCGTCAAGAAAGAAAACGCTGAGAACAACAAAATACTGCTGATATTTTTGAGTGATCAAATTTATCGACGCTTTAAAATCGAAATTTTGTAGCATGAATTACATTTAAAATGTTTGTTATCAATGACTCAAGGATAGATAAACTAATCCTAGTGTAATGATACGAAGTTTTTTCGTTTTTTTCTTCTTCATTTTGATAAATTAGCAGCAACGTATTCCGCAATAGCCATACTTGAAGTGAGTCCAGGCGATTCAATACCAAATAGGTTTATCAACCCTGTAATTCCATGAATCTCTTCTCCCTGTATATATCGAAAATAAATCAAAATTCCCATAAAAAAAAATTTGAGAATTTTCATTCTACAATTAATGGAAAAATCAAATTCAAGAAATATTCAATTAACTAACCTGTATCATAAAGTCAGCACTAGCCTGCATTGGCCCGGAAATTTTCGCTCGAATACCTGAATAACCCGGATCCAATGACCCGTTTTTCAGACCCGGATAGTACTTTCTTATCTCCGGATAAAACCGATTCGCACCATCTCCAGGCACAGAATACTCGAACCTTTACGAAACACAGTACACAAACATAAGATCAACAACCAGAAACAAAAAAAAAATCTCTTATTATAAAACATTCTTAAAAAAAAATATCTTACAAGTTGAGGAAGCTCGAAACGTCATCGATACCGTCAATCCATTCAACATCCGGACCAAATCTGACCCGCCCGTCTAAATCCAACGTAACATGTACACCAAGTCCACCATCTTCCGGTATCGGATAAATCAAATGTCGAAAAGGAGGAGATTTAACATTCGATAACGTGAAGTAGGACCCACGGGCGAAGTAGGGTTTCGGAATATTCCCGCTATTTAGTCCGTGGAAGCTTCTTGAAAGTGCTAGAGCACCCAAGCCAGCAGAGTTGACAACAAGTTTTGGAGTAAGAATTAAATCCGGCTTCAACGGCGATTCTTTATCCCAGTTTCCAAGAGATTCACTTTCGGAAACGTAGAGCTGGATAGTATCGTCTTTTTCTTCGTAACTACCACCAATTACGGTTGTATTGTAAGAGAAAGTCGCTCCGTTGTTCTCTGCTTCGCCCTAAGAAAATCTACACTCCTGTTAATTAACTTAATATTCATATGATAACTAATAATTTGCAATGAAGCTATACGTAATAAACATACCAGAAGTGATAGCATAAACGAGTGGCTATCGATAATTCCAGAAGAAGGGGATAGCAACGCTCTCGTGCATTGCAATTCCGGTTCGATTTTCGTAGCTTCTCGACCGTCGATCATCCTTAAATCTCCGACTCCATTTTCCATTGCTCGATTCATGAGCGAGTCCAACATGGGAATCTCCGAAGATCTTGTGGCGACGATTAGTTTCCCGATTTGTTTATGCGGAATCTCGTGTTGCTTGCAGTATTTGTACAGCAAATCCCTCCCTTTAACACAGAGAAGTGCCTGCAATAGTTTCAAAGAAATCATAACTCATACCCAATTCAACCAATCACATGCCACAATTTCTTGACAAATTATACAGTTAAACCTCTATAAACTAATACAGTCGGTACTAGCAAAATTGTATTAATTTAGCGAAATATTAAATTATTGAACTAATAATTTAGTAGATTTTTATCAAGTCGGGATCAGAAGAAACTAATTAGTTAATCCTCTAGAAATTAATAGAGTCGGGACTAGTAAAATTCTATTATGAAATATTAAATTATCGAACTAATAATTTAATAGGTTTTTACCGAATCGAGAACAGAAAACAGAAGAAACTATTATTTAAGCGAGGTTATTAATTTATGTACGTTCCACTGTAAATAAATGAATATATACCTTGAGAGAATTGGGAGGGTAGTAAATGCCGGCGTGAATGACTTCACTGTTGCGAGAACTCGAGCCCGTACCGAAAGTAGGGCCCGAATCCAGCACAAGAACTTCTCGGCCGAGTTTCACTGCAAGCTCACGCGCCACCGCTATGCCGACCACTCCGGCGCCTATAACCACCGCGTCCGCCGCTTCTTTGGGCACCGATTTGTACCTTTCTGCTGTGGACAGCGATCTGGGTTTTCCCACTAGGGCCCGCAAAATCTTGGTCGGCTTCATCATCGTCTCTGTCGAAGAATTAGCTCACTCCCCCCCAATAATTGAAATTCTTAATCAAAAAAACAAAAATTTAAGATTAATATATATATATTAAACTGTCTGTGAGACAGCTGCACAACCAGCTCGGCTCGAGCCGAGCCGAGCCGAGCCAAGAACGATCCCCTCCTTTAGAACAGATCCTAAGCAGTCTAAACAGAGCTCCAAGATTGAAATTGAGTAAAAAAAAATCCACGAGAAAAGCTGAAATTCTTCAATATTCGTTCTCTTCTTCGATTCAATGGCTTCGTTCTACGTCAATTCTGTCATGTACGCTCATCTTCAAGCCATGGTTGTGCGTCATCTCTACGAGTATTCAATTCCAGTCACTTGAAAATTCATAATTACCACAATCCCCCACAAACTTTTTCGTCTGCTGCCATTTCATTACTGGATTCATGCAGGAGTCTTCGAAATTTGAAGCGAATCCATGCTTCAGTGATTTTGAATGGGCAAGAACATGCTTTTGGAGTTTTTTCGAAATTGACGTCTTTATATATTCAATTTAATGATTTTGGCAGCTCTGTATCAGTACTGATGGTTATGGAGGAACCCCAAACTTTTCTTTGGAATTCAGTAATTAAGGCCCACGTAAATTCGGGGCTAATTGAATCAGCTTTTCTTGTGTTTAAGCTCATGAGACAAATGGGTGTTTCCTGCGATAGTTATACGTTTCCAATCGTAAGTAAATTGGCGATACAAATTGGTTTCGAATTCGCAGAGATGATTCATTGTATGGCAGTAAAAATGGGCTTCGAATGCAATGTTTACTTCTGCAATGCGGCGATCGATGCATATGTGAAGAGTGGGTGTTTTGGAGATGCATTGAAGTTGTTCGATGAAATGCCTAGCAGGGATTTGGTTTCTTGGACATCGGTGATTTCTGGGTATGTGCATGAAGGAAATACCAGAGAAGCTGTTCGGTTGTTTAACGAAATGCGAAACGAGGTGGGTCCCAATGAAGTGACGTTAATTGTGATGTTGCAAACTTGTTCTAGTGTGGTCGACGGAAGGCAGTTTCATGGTTATTCAATTAAATGCGGGTCTTCAATGGATCGGTCATTGAGAAATTCAATCATGCAAATGTATGCCGATTTTAGCAGTGCAGACGAAGTAGAAACTCTATTTCGAGAAACTGATGAAAGGGATGCAGTCTCTTGGAATATTATGATTTATTCGCATTCTTCGAAAGGAAACGCTACGAAAATGGTAGATTGTTTCAATAAAATGAGGAACGAAGTAGAAGCAAGCGTCGAAACGTACACTCTGCTTATTACAGGTCTTGGAGAGTGTGGAGATCACAGTCAATGCAGACAAATACATTGTCTTGCTCTAAAGAGCGGATCGTTAGATAATATACTAATCACTACTTTCTTGAACTCATATGCCAAGTGTGGCGATTTCGAGAATTCGACTAAATTTTTCAAACAAGTTTCTTGCAAGAGCTATGCTACATGTGATGATGCTATGATTGAAACTATGAGAAGTCTCGTTGTTGGATACACGAATGTAGGTGCTCTACGGTTAGGCAAATCCATCCACGGCTACTTCATACGAAATTCCCTTTCGACCCCCAACGGATCCGCTCGATTATTAGAGACCTCGATTCTCAATATGTACGTGAAATGCGGAGATATTTCTTCCGGAAGGATTTGTTTCGATAGAATGCCCGTAAAAGATCTCGTTTCTTGGTCATCAATGATCGAGGGCTATTCAACTCACGGATTAGGTCACGAAGCACTTCAAATCTTCCATCAAATGAAAACCGAAGGAATAAAGCCAAACGGAGTAACTTTCTTGAGCTTATTATCTGCATGCAGCCATTCGGGTTTATTGCAAGAAGGCTGCGAAACCTTAATCTCGATGAAAAGGGTATTCGGAATCAAGCCCGATTTGGATCACTACACTTCCATAGTTGACTTACTGGGGCGATACGGGAAAGTCAAAGAAGCTTTATCGATTGTTCTGAAGTTTGTGGCTTTGCCGGATAGTAGAATATGGGGGGCGCTTCTAGGAGCTTCTAGAATACACGAGGATCGGAAAGTCGGGGAATTTTCGGCCCGGAAGATATTGGAGTTGGAAAGCGACAACACTCGATATTATACGTTGATTAGTAATGTACAAGCTATCGGAGAGAGGTGGAGTGAAGTCGAAGAAACGAGGGATTGTGTGAAAGAGATGAATGTGATCAAGAATCCTGGTTGGAGCTTCTTGGAAGTGAAGGGAGTTGTTCATGGTTTTGTTTCTGGAGATAGATCACATCATCAAATGGGGGATTTGTGTAATTTGATTTGGTGTTTGAGTAGAAATTCACTTGATTTTTAGGTTAAATCGCACGTGAAAATGCGATTTTGTTCTTGTGTATTTTCGTAAATTGGAGTGAAAAAAACTTGTTCCAATATCAAAAAGGGTACATTACGAAATCGCGCTGATATTAGGCGTAATTACCAAAATCACCCAAAGTTTGTTTCTGTATTACGCCGAGCCCTTAGGATGGTAAATCTGAATGAAAAGAACTTGTTCCAATATCAGAAAGGGTAAATTACGAAATCGCCCTGAACTTAGACGTGATTACCAAAACCCCAACGTTTGTTTCTGTCTTACGCCTCCCTTAGGAATTTTCATAGAATCTTTTTGATTCTAGGGAATCTTCACGGAATCTTTTCGAAATTTTCGTTGTTTTCATCTACCTATAATATAAAATGTAGAATAATAATAATGATATTTTAAATGCAATTTTCGAAAAGAGAATTTCCGAAAATTAAATTTCACTTCCAATAATATTATTTTTATGAATCGAAAATCAGAAAAATTTCAGATTTCACAATAGAAATCATTTTATTCAATCCAATTTTTTTGAATTAAAATAAAGAAAAAAATGTTATGTAAATTGTTCAGAGTTATTATTATGTGTTGGGCCTTTAATTTCAGTTGGGTTAACTCTTTTTTGGTAGGGTACGGTGTTATATATTCAACAGAGAGTACTTTAATTGGGCCCAATAGGTAATATAGGTTTTCTAAAATAATAATAATAATCATTATTTTGATGGGTAAATTACAAACACCCCCCTGAGGTATGGTTAAATTACAAAAACCCCCCTCTTGTTTGGATAATTACATCTACCCCCCTCAACTATGATTTTTTCTTACCTTTATGGTGCCAAATTCAACATAGTCATCTAGATTCCGTGAAATGTGCTCTAGTTTGTACTCTTTGTGTAAAAAATACAGTTTTCGATGCACCACAAACTGATATATACAAGCTAAAAATCACATATTATGGTCATCTTGCTTCATAATGTAGAGTTTGAATGGGATAAAACGGGTACAAAAGTGATAATATTCCATATAATCTCGAAGATTCCACTAAATTTGATGAGTTGAGGGGGGTGGTTGTAATTATCCAAACAAGAGGGGTGTTTTTGTAATTTGGTCATACCTCAGTGGGGTGTTTGTAATTTACCCTTATTTTGATTAATGGAGCGTGGAGCGTGGAGGGTGGAGCGCGTGGTGGTTGAAAGAAAAAGGAGCAGAAATGAAATAAATAAATAATTAGGGTTAATAATAATAATAATAATAATAAGTGAAAAAAAAAAAAAAAAAATGGAGATGACAAGACAAGACATCGCCATGCTTGTCGGGGCCTCTTACCTCCCCCACGCTCCCCCACTCTCTCTGACATTCACCTGCCTCTCTTTCTCCTTCTATTTCTACCCAAACATATTTAATTCCCACAACTCTCTTCTATTTATTTATTATTTTTTTTTTTGTATAAATATTCATTTCCTTTTATTATTTCACTAAAATCTTTACTAACGATTTTACCAATTCTTTTATTACTACAATTTTCTCATAAATATTAATAGGTAGATATATTATTTATACTACAAATAAACTAATATTTTCATAAACAATCGGATGATGAGTTAGATCAATAATATCGGCCAACCAATTTCTTAACTTTTTAACTACTACTACTCAATCGCAATCCACTTGCGCACGGATCAGCTGATATAGTCGATTACAAATTTAAATATATAAGCAAAAAATACGTCGGGTTGTCGGGTAAAACCGACCTATGAACAGTCCTGCATTCAATGCATACATCTATTTCACCTAAATTAGATTTTTTTCATTTCCATTTTTTCCTAATTCATATGTTCTTGTTTGAGTGTCCAAAAAACTCAAATAGTTTTTTTTTTCCCTTAGGGGGCTCTTCTTTGACTCAGTCAACGGCTAATACATATATATGAAAAATAAAAAATAAAATTTAAAAAAAGCACAATAAATGATACATCAAAAAATGCTTTCTGGGCACAGACTACTACAACTCAATATAAAAACACAGATACACACACAAAGAGGTAGGATTGAATGAGGGGGCCCACAGGAGAGCATAGCATGCACACAATCTTTTAACTGTACTTGAGAGCAGTAACTTGAGTCAGTCTTCATACAGGAGAAAAATCTGAAGAAAGAAAGATTGATCAATTCAATGTGATATATATGCTTAAATAGAGGCAAAAGGAATTATTATGACCTTATTCAATTATTCACAATACATACATACATCCATGCAATCAATGAATACAAATTGACATGATCACCTATATCTACCTATTTATTATTATTACTACTACTATTATTAAAGATCTCTTAAATAATTCAATTTATAAATAATTTAATTTTTTTAGATAGGAACAACATTGCGAGACGAGAGTGCATTCGAGATATAAAGGATGACTTAGCAGTTGGAAAAATAGAGCCTTTTCGATTAACCAAAGTTCAAACATTGCTAACGGTCGGTAGGTCAAGTTAGTCAAACATTACCAAGTCCAGCGTGTTTTATCCAGTGTTGTCTATAATATATGGAAGTGGCTAGAACAAAAACCGTTTTTGTCTCGCTTCAATACCACCAACATAAAATATAGAAAATAAATAAATAATAAATAGGTAATGACATTATTATCCTTAATGAAAATCAACACCACACACAAAATTTGTGTAATATTGATTTTATTAAGGGTATTAATATCATTACCTATTTATTTTCTATTTTTTATATTGGTGGTATTGAAGCGAGAAAGAAACGGTATTTATTTTTGCCTTTCCCATAATATTTATGATTGATTGACTACGGATTTGTTTATTAAAAAAATAATAATAATAATGAAGTTGTTATTCAATTTTTTTTTTTTTTTTTTTTTTTTTGCATTTTCTTGAAATTCAATATAATTAATGAAAAGGGCAATATCATGATATAATGAAATAAATAAAAATAAAATAAAATAAAAAAGGGGTAGCAGCAGCAAATGTCAGCAGATTGGCCATAAATGGTAGACATGGAAATCAGTGCCCCTCTTTTAATTAGCTTCGGAAAAACATTTACAGAGAAAAAAATAAAAATAACTGCAACTAAAAATAAATAAAAACCTCAGTACAAAATGTCATGTAATAATCTAATCAGACACTATTTGATATCAGAGGAAAAATAAAACTGATGGAATTGAACGGACAGATCATGGGTTGTGGGACACGTGTCAGCACGATCTGGGTGTATTAGGTCACTTAATTCGGTGATCGTACGGTTCTTTTATAGCCGTTGTGTGTTTTTTGCATGTGTGCGTGTGTGTGTGAGAGAGAGTACTGACAAGGAGAAGTCATGGTCAAGAGGTCAAGATCAGACGGTTCACATGCATTTATGGAGTTGTCCAATCAGATTAATTTGTTGATAGAGGCAACTTCTGTTATTGTTTGGCCTAACTTTGTGATCTACTTGACTCGCCCTTTTGTATTTTTATTTAGGTAAATAGCACTTGACCCCTTGAACTTTGGATATTTTGCACATGACTTTTTTTTATTTACGATATATCGCTTGACTCCCTTGTAATTTAATATATGGCAAATTACAGCCACCCCTGAGTTATGGTCAAATTACGAAAACCCCTCTCCTGTTTGGCTAATTATGACCACCCCTCAACTATGAATTATCTTACGAAAATACCCCTTCAGGGGTAAATTTAGGGATGTTAAATCGGTAAAATCGAAACAAAATTTTGGTACGCCAACGTTTCATACCGTTTACCGAACTGAATATACGATTTGGTTAGGTAAATAACCGAGTTATATAAATTTTATGTAAAAATATTTAAAAAGAGGGGGTGGCTGTAATTACCCAAACAATAAAGATTTTTTTTCGTAATTTTGTCATACCTCAGGGGGTTGGCCGTAATTTGGCCTTTAAAATAAGCGTGTAACACTTTGTACACTTAAAAAAAATATCTCTGTAATGAGCACGATTATTTATCAAGTGAATACCACAAGTGAGTTATACTTTTATTAAAAGTACAAGGGTGTCATATGCATAAAGTTCAAATTGCATTGGCTTACGTGATATATTGAAAGTACAAGAGAGTCATGTGCAAAAATTTCAGACCACAAGGAGTTAAGTTCTATTAAGCCTATTTTTTTCTTTTAATTAATTAACAATTTATAGAAGCAAATAATCTAGTAAATTAATTGTGAAAAAATTGCTTTGTGGGTAATTAAGTTCATGCTTGAGTCAAAATAGGGGGGTCAAAAACATGCTGATTGAATTTTTTTTCTTTCTTAATTGACGAATTAATAATTACGGCAAGTTAATATTTTTTATTTTATAGGACAAATTACGACCGCCCCTGAGATATGGCCAAATTACAAAAAAAAAATCATCTTGTTTGGGTAATTTTTTTGCCAAAAATCGTATATTCGGTTTGGTAAACGGTATAAAATGTTGGCGTACCGAAATTTCGGTTCGGTTTTACCGATTTCACATCCCTAAATTTATCTTTGAATGGATATTTTCGTAAGATAATACATAATAGAGAGGTGTGACTGTAATTACTCAATCAAAAGGAGTGTTTTTGTAATTTGACCATAACTCATTGGCTCAAATATCAAACGTTTATTTGGGCCCAATATCAAACGTTTCTACATTTTTTTCCGAATTTGACCCTAGACACAATTCAGTTAAAACATTGGATTCCAGCTATATAAATTGAACCACGTGATCTATATATATATATATTGGAATTTAATTTGTATTTATTTCTTAGTAATTCAAAAATTAAATCATGTAATAACAAGTTTGGTAATAGGTCTTTAATTTTGGCAATAATTTTAATTTTCTGAACAATGCATAAAATCAATTACATATCAGATATATTGATTGTAGTACGCGCACATAAATGAAACTTAAAAACAAGAGCCAAATTACCAATAAATTCAACCCACCCACCCACACACACACACACACAGAGACACACACACACGCAATATTGTGTGTG